TCTTTTCCAAAAGTTGTACAGAGCTAAGAAACAGGAGGAGAACATGGATTACTTTCAGGTGGTTGTTCTCAGCTTACAAAAACCACCAACAGTAGCTGACAGTGGTGGGTCAAATAATGCTGTCATGTCTCTTATTTTAAAATTATTGTACAGGTCTTTAAATAGACAACTTTCACTGGGCTAGATAGAAATATTTAAATTACTAAGAAGGAAACATGCCTAGTAGTTATAACACATCTGCCAACAGCAGAAGGAGTCTCTTTGCTGGGGATAGGAAGACTCACTTGTGTGACCACAGTTCAGGTCTTTTTCTGCAAGCCCTGTGTAATGGAAAAGAAAGTAACCACCACCACTGTTGAAAATAAAAACAGACTGCTGAGCCAAACAGGCGTCTCGCACTGAAAGATGGGGGGGAGAAAGGAAGAGTGTCCGAAAAGTGCATCTCGTCCTGCATAGCAACACACAGAACCTCGGCAGGTATTTAAGGACAAGACAGAGTACACTGTGAAGTTGTAACACAAAGTAGCACCACATTTGAGCACAGTAAAACACGAGTCATGAAAGTATAAATGGAGGAAAACTACAGCCTTTGAGGCCTGTACTTAGAAAGCCCAGGTCTAAAAGCTTATGCCATCTGTCTCTTCATTTACATTACAAAATAAAAACATAAATTAAAGACCATAAAATACACATAAAAGCAGACTCTCAGCACCCATCTCACCGAGGAAAGAAGTGGCAAACGAACGCAAATTGTAAGGTGTGCATATAACTGGACCACTAACAGACAGGCACATATTCAGTGCCCCAAGAAAGAGAATCACACTAAGGTGAAAACTTACTCGTTTTTATTTTTTAAAGAAAAATATTCCTCTTTAAACACAAAGCATGAACTACAAACCTCTGAGGAACAGCTTCTCCTCAGTTGGAGCACATTTAACTAAACTGTACAGTGTTAAGAGCTCCCCAAACAAGTATACACACATGACATACAGTATTTTTTCACAGGAAATAAGGTTTAGGACTCAAAATTGCCCACCCTCTCTAGATACCCACTCCATCCAAAAGTACTCTGTCCGTTACTCCCAGGACACAGTGATGATAATTTCTGGATGCAACATATATTTTTAAAAAAAAAAAAAAGTATTGGCCAAACTGGCCCTTTCTAGCCTTTGAACAAGTATCTGTGAGAGAGGTTAAGACCATAACTATTTCCAGGAATGGTGCTTGGAAGAAAAAAATATAGCAGCATCCACGGGCAGCACAAGCCCTTGTTTCCAGCTGCCTTGTTTTAAGGAACCCAGTCAGATGCTCCCATCACCCAAGAAGTGGGTGTGGGAATAAAACATTCTGTGGCTTGAGCAGAAAGCTGACAGCTCAGTGAATCTGGCCTACATACACCATCAATGATTTTTTTTTTCACATTATCACAGTGACCAATTTAATGTCTAGGATTTTAAGTAAAAAGATACAACGATCTTGAGCAATCAGCAACTCTGAACAGCAATTCTACCAATTCTATCCCATTCAAGAGATAAGTGCATGTTTGTAAAATCTGCCAAAGTACTCAGACTGCGGAACTGGAACGAGACTCTAGAACCCAAATTATTCTTAATTCGCAACAGCAAAGTCATCAAAAGTCTCTGAAAGGTCTCAGAACATGCCTAACAAGCCCATATCCAAAGAAAAAGTACTTGGGCATTTTCAAGGGAAGGCAGGTAATGGAAAAGGTCTGGAAATGGAGCTCATTTATATCCTGCCGGATCACTAATTGTTGGCATGATTAAGTAATGCTCAAATCTTTATCCGACCATTTTGTAAAGATCTTTTCCATTCCATACACCCCAGCATTTTTTACAGTTGGAAAAATATTAGAAAAATAAAATCTCACCCCTGAACAACAGCGGTATGAAGATCAATATCATCAGTCACAAAGATTTTTACAGGGGGACCAGATAATCTTTTGTTTCCTCCAAACCAGCTTCATATAGAAAAGAGCAGCAAGATAGACACAGTATCTAAGAGCTAGATTAAGGCCAACAATATAAAGACAAACATGGGCTCAGGTCTTTTGAAATGAAGAAACCCTCCAAATGTTTTTACACCTATGCATGCACACGCACACACATACACCTGTGTACTCGTCCGTACTACTCAAGCGAAGGCTTCACAACCGTGAAAGCACCACTGGAGAGTGTTCTAGCACCAGAATGAAAAAGTTGGTTGTCTTCCCTCTTCAGCAATTAAAATCCAAAGTCTTTATATTGCTTTGGACAAGGTCACCAAATACCCTTCCAAGAACAGTTTTAGTGAGCAGATTCAGAAGTGCAGTGACAAGTTAAAGTTTTCCTGTTCTGGAATGCAGGCAAGAGGAGGTGTGTTGAGAGGCTGCAGCTCCTTGGTTGCTGGAGAGGAGGAGAAAATTTGTATTGCAATCTGGTAGAGAGAGAGACCAACTGGGACTCCAGGTGAGCGTGATGGTAAAACTCGGCGCAGACTGGGAGGTGAAAGCGGGAAGTTCGCATACGTGAAGTCACAGTGCACAGCTGTTGGCGTAATAAAAGACAAACAAACCCACAGTATTCTCTGGCAGGCTTGTCTCTGCATAGGAGGCCCCTGGGTATGCTGGAAGTCAGGACAAGGATCCATGAACAGGATTCACACACTGCACCAGGACATCATCAAACTCAAACAGCAGAGGTCTAAACAAAAGCTTAGAAGTTGGTCTGCTAGCATCTTGCCTACACACACGCCCAAGTGAGCCTGCAGAACTCTAAAAAGGGACAAAAGTCTCTTAACAGCAAGGTTATGGGTCCAGTTCAGCTACAAGTAACAACTTGTACAGGTTACCAAAGAACCACCAACCTGCAGCACATTTTTCCGCTGCGGGTCTCTGTCCTGGATCTAGCCTTTGTACGGGAGGGGCCTTTGTCCAAAAGGCCACACAGCCCTTTACCCACACTCTGAAGCGGCTGAGAGGAAGATGCAGAGTCAGGAATGACACCCCCACAGCCTCTCAGACCAGCACGTGTGGGAAGAGGTGTGTCCTCTGCCTGTAAGACACAGAGTAGGCAATGAGCAGGCCTGACTAACGGGGAGGATGGGGAGCAGCAGCTGGAAATAGGCTGCTAAGACAATGCAGGAGGAAAGGGAAGAGACAGAATTTTTTGGTGCTAGAATCAGCAGTAAAGGCCCATTTAATCTGTCATATAGCATGCTGATCGGAGTCTGGCTATCCCTCACATGATTTACTAAGTGAGGTTGTGGTAGGAATTCAATTAAAACACGCAAGAAAAAAAAAAAATGAAGTGAAAGGAAGGTGATCATCACTCCGAGGTGTGAATTCTATGAATTTCAGGTTCAGAGCAGGGAATTATCAGCAGAGATACGTTTTGCTTCTGTGCACATGCAAGAGTACAATAGAGGGAACAGCAGCAGAAATGAAAGGCAGGGAAAGACGCAATAAGCATAACACGTTCAAGATGCAAACACAGGACAATGGGGTGAGGGCAAGAGAAAAGAAGTTTGAGGTAAAGGTGCCCAAAGGAAGAGACAACAGAAAAACTCCGATAGTCAGTCCTGCTCCACAAAATACATAGCTAATGTCAGTTGGCTCTCTTTTCACCAGGTACCCTTTACATGTTGGTAAATCCTCTCTCTGCACTTGGGATTTAACAATCAAAACATAAAGATCAATTATTTTTTTTTTCCCCCCTAAGATGTACTACATGATTTTGAGTATTCAGCACAAGACACCAAATGGCCCCTGAATTCTAAGCAATGCTGACAACTAACCCAAAAGCAGAAGTGCCCAAATTATAAACTGCTTTTGAAAACCTAGAGCTACTTCCTTTGGGTTAGAAAAGAAGAATCTCTCCAGAAGGCTGAATTGTCCAGAAGCAGGGTTGGTATTTCTCACTGAGAGCACCTTGGCATTTAACTAAGTAAGAAGTACCTTAAATGGTTACTCAGCAAATCCCAAGATCAGATTGAGGCGTCAGGCTTCTGGATAAACGTATACAGCCAGACAGCTCCTCATGTATCCTCTAACAGTACAGATTTGTGCGATTCACAGCAAGAACAAGCTACGCCACTCGCTGCTTCAGCGAAAACACCAGCAGAGTTGTGAGCTGAAGCCCTTTACGGTGCAAATCACACCGGGATCCTTTCTTATGACAGAGTCAATTGTACCAGAATTAATGCCTCCTGTGTACAGCAAAGCGCAGGCGTCCTCTTTCCAATGCAGCCACCAAAGGATGCCTGCCCGCGGTCTGTGCATACGTACGGCAACAGCGCTGGTGGGAGGTACGTGTGGACAGCAAAGTTTCTGAGAACCAGCACGACCAGAATGGCAACTGGTCAAAGTGGCCTCAGAGCACAGCCCAGGTGGAAGCACATGGACATAGAAGATGCAAGAATATGACAGAACAGCCAAGGTCACCCATGTACAAGCTTAAGGCAACTAAAGAAAATTCACTGATAATTTACAGGAGAGTGCCAAAGGGGAGAAGAGGAACCACTGGGAATGCTGTTACAGTACCCAAAGCGGAGCACCAGCTACTAACCCACCCCTCTTCTCCAGCTCATTTGTTCCAATTCTCCTCATTTTAACAGCACCATCAGCATGAGGTTAATATGTCAGAAAGAAGAGCTGGGGATAGGTTCCAAAAAACGCAGTTTACACATTTGTCAGCCTTGTGTCTCATACCAGTTCCTTCGAAAGAAAGTGTATGGGCCAGAAAAAGATTGTCCTCTTGCTCTGAACTGGAGCTTTCTGGGAATTCTGCCTGCCACCTCCAGTGGCAATCCTGCGATATGTTCTACCTGGAAGTGACAGCAGCAGCAGCTACCTGGGCTCCTTGTCATGACAGCTGAGAATACAGTAGTTTTTTTAAAAACCAGCATGCACCATGGTACGGCCATTAGAAACGAAGCCACAGTCGAATTCTTCGTGTCTCCTCGGAAGCAGGTGGAACTGGAAAGAAAAGGAGTGTTGGGACAAATCAGCGCAGGCTTCGGTAGATATAGGCTGATGTGAAGACAGCATTGAGAGTCAGACTCACGGCCAGCAGACCTCGGAGAGCGGAGTTACCAAAACGACCTTAGGAGAAGAGGACAACACAAAGAGAAAAAGGGAATATAAGAAATAGCTATTAAAGAACTGACGAAATAACTAACAGTGAACATATGTTGTGCTTTTTCTCTCTCTTTGCCCAGCATTTTCCCCATAAGCAGAAATTGCTGAAGCACTGCTCTCTCTGGTTCTATTTTCATCTCATCGCTCTTATCAACATCCGCATCCCCACCCCTTTCCTTCCTTCTCAGTTTAGCACTCTGCCAGTATTCTTCAGACAGCCAAAGAAGAGGAATAGCCTTACTGAAGTCTCAGATTAGCAGGCAGAAGATCCATTTTGCCACTACTTATTTATTTGATCTCAAGATCAGATCACGACGACAGCACAGGAAAGATCTCAGCTACCTGTAGAAATGCTCACACATACATGAGGCACGCACAGGACTTGCACCTACCTCTCCAGCCCGCCAAATCTTCCCCTTTGGTAGTTGTGTCTACCACACAGATAGATGAGTGTGACGAGCGATTCTCCTTTCTGATGGAATTATCACTGCAGATACTCCCCCTTTCCACAGCAGATCTCATACCTGCAATGAGAGAAAGATATGAAAATTCAGAAGACACCAGTGGAAGCCAAAACTAGCAGAAGTTACTGACTAAAGATAGACAGGAGTAATGAATGGTTGCCTGGTAAAAATCATGAAAGGATTGAGGACAGGTGTTGGAAAAAAGGGCAAATTTCACTGCTGTGCAGCAGAAGTCGCCTGCATGTTTGTCTCACACCCTGTCTGTATCAGTACCACCACATCCGTGGTTAAAGGAGTTATCCAAACAAGGGTGAAGGCAGCAGCAGTAGTATCCCTGGGGCACCACTAAGTGAGAAAAGGACGTCTGTTTTGACAGCCAAGAGGCTCTCCAGGCCAGGGGATTCTTAAGGGAGCTTTGGTAGCCCATCAGTCACCACCACCTGGGTTTCTCATCTATTGTGTGGCCTAGATGATGCGTGGCTCTGCTTGCAAGCCAACTCCTTCCTACAAACGCACCTCCAGGAGTGCAGCAGGCTGCCAGCATACCATGCATTCCCTGCTCGACGAGGTTCTTCTTTGGAAAAGGGGTCAGCTCAGTGGCAAAGATGTTGCTGTCTGAGTAGGTGTGCTCCTCCGAGCTAGTTGGGGTGAGCAGAGCCTCATTATGAGATTGGAAAAGCAGCAGCTTCTGTCCTTCCAGGTTCAGGCGGGCAGGGCTGATGAGCGGCCGGCGGTATCGCAAGGAACCTGAGCTGGAAGTCACCGAGCCAGCCACCGACGGTGCTGGAGACGGGATGTGGGAGGGAGCACAGCTGCCTGACAGCAGGGAGAAGTGATCTGAAATGGAAACATCCCCGAAGAGAAAATAATGAGATTATAATCCAAATACAATAGGCACATTTTTCTTTAACAATTCTACAAGAAAAGGGAACAAAAGTTGCAAATGTCCAACGCATCTTGTACTAAAATTCTTTATTCATTCCAGTTCCCACGCTGTAAAACATGGAGAAATTCCACACGCACTTCAGTACGCTCAAGAATAATTTAGACTAGAGATGGGTCTATCAGGAGCTGGGTGAGCTTTCTGCTCAGTTGTGTCCATCAGGAAAGCATGCATTATCTATGCTGTCTTGCAGGTAAACTAATCCTTCCAGCATGCCTTTAGCTGTCAGGAAAACGTATCAGGATGCAAAGAGGTTTGCACAAAGGCATTAGCCCAAGTGTGACTGCATTTCCAGCAGCAAACACTTAGGCAGCAGAAACAGCCAAATGATCCATTTGGGGTCAGGAGGGCAGCAGACAGGTCACTGGAGGACAAGGAATAAAAGGACAGAGCAGACAGGGTAGCCAAATTAGCAGTTCCTTGGGCTGGGGAAGGACAGTGTAACAAAAGAGCTGCCCTAGGAACAGTTAAGAGTCTCCTATCAAACCAATCTCAACTCAGCTGTGGAGCAGGGAAGGGATCTTTGCTTTGTCTCACTGATTTCACTGTGAGCTCTCCCAGGGAGAAGGGCATCTAACACATACAGCACCTTATTTTAAGGCAGTCCCACTCTTAGCTGGAACTCTCTGCAGCATTTCTAACAGTGAAACTCACACTTTCACTGGGATGTGAGCAGGGAGGAAAGAATTCAACTTGGATCCTGTATTTCAACCCACTCACTGCAAATCCTGCAAAGACAGTTGCTCTGGAAGGCCTAGTGCATTACCTGATGTAGGAGATTCCCTGGAGCAAGATGACTGCGAGGCTGGTCGACTGCCGCTGAACAAGTAGCCAGAATCTAAAAAGCAAAAATGGAACAGTTTGAACTCAGCTGGCTCAGCTACTGGAGGCCTGTCCTTCAGAAACGTAACTGCATCATCTTGTCATCAATATCAGAACGGGACGGGTGGTACATGTAGGCAGGAAAATTGTCCCAGTTTTCCTGGGTAGGCTATAGGCCAGCATCAGAATAATCCACTGTTCCCAGCTGTAGCAGAACAGATCTGTCCAGCAGGCTCCACAAGCAACCCTTTGACCGTATCACAGCCTGGCTTGCCTCTACTTTAAAAGGAAGAAGGTGAAGATAACGGTTGTATCTTTTTCTTGCTAAAAGAGCCTTAAGGGTAGATCATAGGGTGAGATGAATTCCCATCTGCCAGGCACCATAGCCATAATGAGGCAGAAAAAAGAAAAAAAAAAACAAACCAAAACAACACAACAACAAAAAGTACTGAAGTCAGGAAAAAGAAGCGCTACAAATGAAACCTCAGAGCTTAAATCATTCTTTTTCTTAGGCACTTCATTGCCGTAATTCTAAGCAAACGGCTTTGGAAGTTGAAAACCTTGCTTTTTGCATAAAACACCCGGCCCAACAGCATGCCCTCTCCAGTCTGTCTGGCTTTGCACCTTAACAAAAGAAGCACAAGCCTCACAAGGGTGGTTTAGCACGCAGCGGGAATCCCAGCCGTCTGGTGCATCTGCAGCTGCCCTTCCAGTGGCAGTCGGGTAACCAGGAAGGTGAAGGCTCTGCCAAAAGGTTTGCATGGCTGGTCTTCCTCTTGCCAGATCTTAGCGGATCTGGCAAAACTGCTGCCAGCGCGAGCTAGAGAAATGTTGAATGAACTCAAAAATCCCCACAAAATTGTTCTCTCTGCTGCGGTGTTATCCTAGGAACTGTCACATTTTGGCCTCTGACCTTCTGGTAATCAGTTAGTGACACAGGAAAGCTTAGCTTTCCTTGGATGGAGAATGGCATTTGCATGCTATTTCCCCACCTGTGAGTTTCAAGTGCAGCAAAACTGAAGGCTTACTGGGAGAAATCCTTTCCTCAGGCCTATAAATCGTCCCTAGATGGCATAGAGCCCTTAAAAACAAGACAAAATGGCATCTCTAAAGCAGCTTCAATAGCTGTGCAAACACCTACCAAACCCAGACTTAGGGAAGAGCCTGCCTTCAGCTCTGCCCCCTTCAGCTGCAGCAAGAAAAGCAAACTACACAAAGCAGCTAGAAGGAAGGGAGCGATTGCTCTTGCCCGACCAGTTATCCTAATGCTCCCAATCGCTTCCAAAAGCTGCTCTTCGCCATTCCTGTGTCTAACTCTCCTTCTGCCTCCCTCCCACACATAGCTTTGGAGCTTCTGCCATACTGCCACGAATGCCTGGAGAAGCCTATGGATTTTGGTAAACCCACATTCAGTGAGACGTTTTGTTTCACCAAGACGGCAGTGGTACGCTGCACGATTTCTTCATGTCAAAAAAACAAGTTACCAATGCTGGATACTCCTCTGTGCCACAGGAGCAGCAGCTCCTAAACAGGACTGTAACATGTGGATACTTCACAGCCCATTTTCTTCTGAAGTACCGTACCATCCCACTGTCATTTCCCTTGGGCCAGAAAGTTCCATGCACACTTACCTGCTCTGGCCAAGGAGGGGATGGTACCCAGCGACAGTGCCCTGTTGAGACGACCAGGAAGAGAGGAAGAAGTAGTTCTGCATGGCGATCTGAAGAGCTGTTGGTTTGTCAGCTGGAGAATACTGGGTGGTGTTGGGACAAAGAGAGACGTAGGCGAGGAAGGGAAGCCAGTCCCAGTGCTGCTGGGAAAGACAGTAATCGGATCTCCAGAAAGGAACCTGCAAATGACACGCATGACAAACATTTAGCAATGAGCACATTCCAGTAACTCCCTCTCTCAGTTGTACTTGCATGAACACTTAAGCCTTGTTATCAGGTTTATACCAATTTTTCAGCGCAGGAGTGCAAGATGCAGAATACTTAAGAGTTTATGGGACTGTTCCTACACCTTTGAAACTAGGGAAGAAAGAACTGCTCAACCTTACTTAAACTATCATGCACCAACCTGTCCCATAATACAGCGTGGAAAAAATGGTGGAACAGTTTAGGAACTCAGGTGCAAACAGGCATAGTACCTTAGTTCCCTCCCTGGATGAGAAAATTACCCAGAGACCACCAGAATGCTTTACAAAGTCCGGATACACACAGGACCACCAATAGAGTACATCTTACGTTTGTTATGCGCACATGCAAACAACATGCTTAGAAATGTCACAACTGTGGGAAGCAACTAGCTATCTACCAGTCTTTTTGTCTTTAGACGCCAGATCAACACCTTACCTCTGATGCCAGTACAGAGAAAAGTTTTTTATTTGTGAGTACCTAGATAAACATTTAGGCACAAGAGCTCTGTTTTAAAGCGAACATTCAAAGCTCTTTAATACATTTGCCTTTATTATACTTTTGAGAGGTAATGAAGACTCACTAACCTTATTTTACAGATGGGAAAGAGAAACAAAAAGAAGGTAAGTGACTTGTCGAGAGTCACATAAAAATCCTATGATAGTACAGAGACACAATCCTGGGTTTTCCAGTCCTAAATTGAAGCCTAAACCATTACATTGTCCTTTCTCTGCATATCCTAATTAGCCACAAACATGTACTAGCATAGCTATTCGGAGGGAGTTGTGCTCTTGTAGCACACACTCCAGGAAGTGTCTTGCTTCTAGTGAGTGAAAAAAATCAACCTCTATTGTAGCGTCTGGAAAAAATTTAAATTAGCAACAATAGCAGCAATTGTATTTCTAGATCTGCGAGTTGTTTCCAGTGGGTTCTTTCCGAGTGAAAGAGGGGAGCTGTAGAACAGCGTGTCCAACTGGAGAACATGAGACAGGAGGTAGCAGACAAAACATACTAAGGGTACCTGTACCAGTAAGCTTGATTTTTAAGTAATACAGACATAAGCTGACTGCTATGTCACTGGTAAAATAACTGTATAAAAGGACTTCGTATTATTAACAGGTTTTGCAGCTAGCACTGCCACAGTATTTCACACTCAATTACCATATGCAAATAAACTATGCAATTAGTTTCTGATACCCCCATTTCATCACCTCCCTTTGCAGTGGTTTAAAATCTAAAAATCAACCTGAGACGAACAAGCTGTCAAAAATTTACTCCTATTTTTATGTTCTTTCTATTCCTCCTCGCAATCACGTACTGATCTCAGTCTATGTGTAGTTTTGTTGACTACACTGCATCAGAAATGAGTCAGCTTTGGGACTTGTATCCTCATACCACCAAAACTAGCACTCTAAAAAAGGCTGCAATGTTGAAAGTATAGGAACTTTGTATTATTTTTAACAATTGACTAAAATACATGCAAGAAAATCTAGAATGTGAACATCTCTCAAGGATCTCCTGTAAGACTTTTGTTTAGTTAGAAACAGGTAACACTTATTAAATAAGTCATGATGAGTACTAACAAAGCATGAAGTGAATGTTTTAAAATGGAGATATCAGACTTTGCAGCATATAATCATGCTGCAACTTTAGGAGGTTTAATCTCACTTGTAATGGAAAGAGAGACAGATGAGAGCAGCAACATGGCTTTTCTTCTGTCAGAGGAAAGCCAGCAGAGAATCAGAGCGTGAAGGAATATATATATATATATGTATATCTCAATCTTGCGCTGTGAGGTCATTTCAAAATGTGCCATTCTCTTTTGGAGATTAAAGAGGTGATGAAGCAATATTATGCAGTGCTAGCACGTCCAGAAGAAGCAGTCTAGAGTTAAGATTACAATTTAAAATACCTTATAAAACTACTTATCTGCTAGTATGAGGCAGACATCAACAATCCCGACCAGCTTAATGAGGCTGAACAACATCTGAGCCAACCAGCTTCCTGGTGCTTGCAAGCAGGACATGCCTTTAACAGCAGCAAGGAACTCGTCAGTCTTGCAGCAGAAACTGCCCAACCTCTTCAGGTTCCAGAGGACCCAGGAATGGTGTCATGCTTCGCAAACGTGCAGAGTCCTTTAGTGCACATACATATACACATTTGCCCCACGACACATACAGATGTAAATAGCAGATGTACACATCCATCTCAGCTTTGTAAGAGAAAATGAGCGGGAAAGGAAACTAAAAGTGCAGCTCAGGACTATGATATGAATCATATCAGAAACAGCAATACCGACCACTCACTGCGCTGTATCTGTGAAGGGCCAAATCAGAGCATCGCCTGTGAACAACATAGCTCTTTTTTCCTAACTTTGCACCTTTTGTATCTTTGGGCTAAAGGAACTAAGTTCACACAGCTGCTTGCTGCAGTGGAAAACAGCTTATTTGGCTTACGGCTTTGGGCAATTTTTCACTTAATGGGCTGGAAGATATTACAACATTTTATCCCTCATAACCACAGCCTCTTTCCTGGGATTGTACTTTTTTTGGATCGGACTTCCATGGGCTCTGCTGCTTAACAGCCCCATTTCTCAGTGTCATCAAGTCAGTGCAGTCAGATCCTCTGGGCACCTGATGAACATTTGTCCTGCACCATCCAGAAACGGAATTTTTCTGGTTAGCAAAGAAGAGCTGAAGAATTTTAAGCACAGCATACTAATGCCGTAGGATTGAGTGCTGAACAAAGAATGGCTTAAATATTGATCTGCTCTGAACAAAGTAAATTCCTGCAACGTGCAAAAGCCTGTTCCTTTCCTATGTGCTCTTCTCTTCAGCGTTTGCCGCTGTCATGTCAAGAGGGCTAGATGCTGCTAAAAAGCAGGGATGGTGTCATGGGAATGCACGTCATGCCTGAGAATGGTCAGCTGAACTAAAACTTCTTGCAGAAGCAGATGAAAAAAAGGTGAGGAGATCAAGAGGATCATAAGGCAGAAAGCAGCTACATCATGGCCCTGGAATGGAGCAGTGCAGCTGCGTCTTTGCTCTCTGACTACTGCATTGCTCCAAGCCATTTGTGCACAAAAGAATGGATATGGTAACAGCGAAAAAGTAACCAAAAAATAAAGGAGGAGGAGGAAAAAAAAAAAAACCCAAACCAAACAAGAAAAGGCTCTGGAGTCAGACAGGTTGTGGAAATAGTCAGGGCCCGGAAGCCGTTTATTTCAGAACTTGGTATTGTGAACATCAAGAATTGGGTATCTTAGTGTTTACAATGATCACAGCATTACTAGACAGTTGGGCACAACTCTGCTACACAGATACTTTAAAACTGAATAAATAGAAGGTTAAAGAAGAGCATTACATGGTGTGGGACCGTACACAGTCCTGAAGAAACACCTCCTGCCAGCAAAGCCTCCCCTCCTCTACCCCAATACCTTCCCCCTCTTATACAAAGACACCACCATACAGGTGTGCCTTTTTAATTCACATTTTAACCAGAGATGCTGCTCACCCCTGGGACAGAGAGCCACATGGGAGCGCATGGGTCAGGTCAGACTACAGGGCTGTAGATGGACCCACTGCTACTATCAGATAATTCAGTACATTAAGTAAGAAGGTAAGATGCAGTCACAGTCAGGCAGCTTGCTGTATGTGCCCAGGTTCACGTGCCTGGAGGCAGCCAGGGAACCATGTATCAGTCATGGGGTAAAATGTTTCCTCTGGACTTTTAAGTCCCATCACAATTTAGTTATGAGTTATCTATGTACAACCGCACCATTTTCCCCAGGCAGCACGGGTGCTGCTGCCCAAGACTGCAGAAGTAGCTCACTATTGCCTTGCTGCTGGCTGTGAGATGAGCAAGTTTCTGTGAGCTGACATGCAGTCACTTGTCTGGTCTGCTGCATCCCATCAGCCAGAGCCATACCTGTGCCTCCAGTCCAGTTGACAGAATCAGGAGTAAAGAGCAATAGTGTGAATAAAAAAAACACAGGCACAGGGAGAGGGGAGAATGATGCTAAAAAAAGGGCACAGGTCTCATACATATTAAGATTTTGATATGTGACTTGGAGAGCTAGAAACTTTAGCTGCCAAGACTTAAGAACTCTTTTCTCCTATATGTTGTCCTGCTTTGGATGAAAAAGGAGGGTTGAACTAGAGCTGAAAATGCTCCAGCTGCCAGGTCCTGCACTAGTACCTTCTAGAGCACAGACAGATATTTGGAATCAACTTTGCCTCCCCTTCTAGCTGCTGGCACAAAGGTGGTGGTGGGGTGTATACGCACAACCCACATCTACAAAAATCCAGATTTGCTGGCATAACAAAAATGTTCAGAGGACCCTCTTGCCTGCCTGGGTACTTGACAGCTTTGGTCCCAAACGAGGCTTTACAGGGGATGACTCAAGGTACACTTCAGGACTGAGTACTACTGCCCCTTTCACATGAGAGCATCTGCCACGGCTCAGAGAGGCCCCAAGTGTACCTGCAGGCGACAGCACACCTGGAACGAACTGGCAGGTTACATGTGACAGCACACAATTTCAACAGCATCTCTTTAAAGACCAAAGCAAAGCCATACACCACAGCTCCCTGCTTTCACGAGTGGAGTCAGTCTGGAGCAATCATCTGGCTATTAATTATATTAATTTTTATAAAAGTATAAATAATTTGTCCACAATACATCAATACATACTTTCTACACTATCTAAGCGTGATTATTAGCTTCACATAATTTCAGCGTACTTGAAAAATATTCATAAAGCCAAAATAAAACACCACTACACCGTTTTTGTATTCCCCTCTTCTCCTCACCCTTTGACACACCCAAGCTCAGCTCACTAGGGCATGCAAAGCACAGGATGTTGGAAAGGAGGAGTTAATAGAAAGAATGGGATATAAATACAGCATATTTAGAATTCTAAAGGGCCACAAAGGCG